ATATTATTATATTATTATTATTATTATTATTATTATTATTATTATTATTATTATTATTATTATTATTATTATTATTATTATTATTATTATTATTATTATTATTATTATTATTATTATTATTATTAGTTATTATTATTATTATTATTATTATTATTATTATTATTATTATTATTATTATTATTATTATTATTGTTATTACTATTATTATTATTGTCATTGTTATTATTGTCATTATTACTATTATTATTATAATTATAATTACTATTGCTATTACTATCACTATTATAATTCTAATAACAGTAGTAACTGTTATTACTATTATCATTAGATCTGCAATTAAGATTAAACTATTTATCACTTATTCTTCATTTATTTCGTAGTCAAAATGATAATAATAATAAAATTATATTATCAGATGCTTATTTCTTGGTTAAAAAAATGATTATAGCAAATCGAAGAAACAATATTTATTTCATGATTAAGAAAAAATGATTGTAACAGATAAGACTATAATGTATCATAAATATCAGATCACTTTACTTTTCTCCTGATCATAAGAAATACAGCGATAGATAACAACTACTAACAGCTGGTACTACATGCGGCAGCTGTCCATTTGTACTGTTGCTTATATTTCCATCGATAAAAACATATTTTTCGTATGAAATAAATTATTTTCTCGTTTTCTTTCTCATTATTAGTTTTAAACATTTAAATTTTCTTTTATTAGGAAAATTGATACAATTTATTAAATTTAAAGCTTGCTTTTCAAAGTATGAGGATAAGCAATGAAATTAATGGAGTTAATCCAATCAAGATTAATAGTTTTAAATTAAATGAAGTTAGAAATTTATCGGGTATTTCTTCATTTTAATCAAAAATCCAAGTTAGTCGCCCAAGTTTCAACCAAATACTATATAAACTCACTTTTTTAAAAGTTTACTTAAATGATAAGTGTTCTCATAACAGCAATAATATTTATAAAATTTTCGGCTTCAAAAAAGTTATCAAACAAAAGAGTAATTTGATAGCAAGAAAAAGAAAACAATGATGGTACATAGTTCAAATCAAATTGTAATCTGTTATCAGTGTCATCATTGTTGTCGATATGAACACTGCTATTATCATTGTCACTATCTTATTGTTGCCATTGCATTTGATAGTAGCCCCTTGTGGTCATTTTAAGTGTAGATTATGGAATGGAATTCTTGCATGATATTAGCCACTTGTGGTCACTCTAAGCAACATATGCTTATAGTTCTATCGTTCATCTGACTGGAATTAATCGACTTGATGATGGAAAGCTCAGCGTATCCATCCCTCCATTCATCCATCCATCCGTCCATCTACCCATCCATCTATCTATTTATCTATCTATCCATTCCCAAGATAGAAAAAACGGAAATGGATAAAGAATTGAGATCAAAGTCTAAAATAAATGGTAAATCGGGAACATGCAGACACACACAGACATATATAGACGCCCACAAACACACACACACACACACACGTATATGTATATTATATATATGTATACATACATGATATCCATAAATGTTTTATGAGTTAATGAATTGATTGTGACTAGAGTAGCTCGCAATATCCATAATATATTGCCGTATTGATGCTATGATGTTTATAATTAATTGTAAAAAAAATCAATTGGTATCTGTTCTAGTTATTTTTTTAATTTATCAAAAAAGAGGAAAAGTTTTAAAGAATTATTTAATGCAAGAAAAAAAAAAGGAAGCAAGATTTCTGATATAACTATATCTTTGATAAACAATCATTTAGAAATTATCCGAGAAAAAAAAAAGACGAAAAAAAATTATATCTTTAAAAGAATGAAAAAAAGAAAGAAATCGAATAAATCAAAACTTCAAGAACAATTTCAAAATTGATCAGATATTTTGCTTTCCTCTTGAATCGCTTCAAACAAATTTTGAATAAAGTATTATAAAATAAAATTGCCAAATGTTTCATTTTTAATTTGATCTTAAATCACTTCTTGTTTTGCTAGATAAATTTAAGATATCAAAAGATTACAAAAGTTTGAAAAAAAGAAAAAATAGGTTAGAACTGACTTTCGTACTTCCAATTACTTAAACATCGTTTTATTTGAATATTAAAAAAAAAAGAAAACCGCAGTTCGTGCATTATCCACATGTGTTAAATCTTTTTTGAATCAAGTTCACAAATATAAGAAAATTTTTTTTGATCGAATTAATAATTCGTTAAAATTTTGTCCCCGAAAACCTGCTATAATAATCTTTGCAACATTGTTGTTTCATTACTGTATTCTTAAAAGGAATAAAAATTAAATCCATTATCCTTCAAGACTTTCAAATTATTTTTCATCCCTCAAATATTATCCATTAAATTACGGTATGGGAACATTAAGTAAGGTTAAGTCTTAATATATAGGCCAAAAGTGTCAAGTATGAGAATTTTGTCCACTTTCCTTTATTGGGATGGCTGTCCTTTAAGACGGAATGAATTGAATTGAAGTAAATATCTCCTTTTTCCCAAACCAAAGGAAGATGGGAATAATTGTCCTCCTTGTGCATAAATAAATATGCTCACTTAGTTTGTAGCTTAAGCTCACCAAATATAATGCGAAACTAATTAGATACATTATATTTTAATTGCCAATAAATATTATATAATTAGCGAATAAATCTGCTGAACTAATAATAATAATAATAATAATAATA